TTGTACACAGAGGCCATCCTCTTATGCTTCCAACCTTGAAAGTTGCCCAGACCAAAAAAATCTAAATTTCAAATTATCAAACATAACCTGGATGCTTACATACTTGAAAGAAATAGCCAATTTGTGGTGGCCAGTCTTCATCATTTTGCTTATTTATCTGAGGGAAAAATACATAAATCCCACCACCTACTTATGCTACTTGACACACAGAGGAAGCACAAACAGCCTGCAGCTGAAGCAAATCAGGCTCTTTGGATGCAGTTGGCTTCATAAAACCAGTTTGCTGTTACATGAATATAATGAATAATTTCCATCTTGAGAATTCATCGTCTATAAGAATACACTCACCTTCCTGTTCCTATTTAAGTTACTAACTCTCAGTTTCTGTAAACACGTGCATTTAATGTTTCCTTTCAAAGCCTTCCTCCTCTATGCTCTAGCATTTTTTCTTTCCAGAAGAATTTGACTATTTTTGGTTTTGCTCAATATTTTGTAAAGGCAAGAGGCATTTATAAAGCAGATTTACAGAGCCTGCAGTGTCAGGTGGATTTCTGCTGGTGTGTCAGCTGAACATATTTCCTTACTCTAATGTCTATATAGTTGATAGCTGCAGTCAGATAACAACAGAAAAGTAATAGCCCCAGGAGGCATTTGAGCAACCCTGGCAAGGTATGTCTGTTTAGTGGGGACGGATTGTCCACTGTGAAATTTTTAAAGCATAATATACAAAACAATGAGTTAGTGGTGGAAAAAGCAGGCAGTTGTGTTGCAGAACAGCTTCAGAAAAGCTGATATCACCTCAGTTAAAAGAAGTGAATCAGCAACCTGGATTGACTCAGCAAATTAATGCATGAGCACATGTTGCCACAGATGCTGGAAGTCTGAACACTGATTTTCAGCTATAGTTATGAAATGCAGAATTTCAGAAGCATTACCTTGTTTTTTTCAGAGAGCAAAAAGCAAATAAGCAAATTACTGCTGACTAAAAAAACCAACAATGGCTGCAGAGTTAGATTGTACAAAGTCAATGTTCGTTAATAATCGTTCTACAAGTAATTTGAATGTTAATGAGAAAGCAAAGAAATGAGCTCTCAAAGTAGGCACACTGTTGTCCACTTGAAAACATCAATACTGCAGAAGTCAGTGAGAGCATTCTCTGCTCAGATTTCAAACACTATAAATATTAATATACCTTATATTACCCATTAAATCACACATGATTAGGGAAGTCAGTACACTGTGTTGTATATATTATAGACAGAGTTGAGAATGCTTCTTTTTTTTTTTTCCTTGAAATGTACAGCCAGATGCTGCTAATGTGCCTGCCATGGTAAAAAAAAAAAAAATAAATACACTCAATTTCATGTTTGACACAAAAGTCTTAAGTCTTTTCATAAATTATTATACTGCATGCAGGAATGTGCATGTTTGCTAGAAATGTTTCTAAAAATGCAGTCTTATTTTCTCTATGTATTGTGCTTAAATCCTATTGCTTTGTTTTAAATTCTTTTCTTGCAGGAGAAAATTTATTAGAAGAGAGACCAACACGACAAGCAACACAAACATCATGGTTTACTGTGAAAATAGGCAAGAGCACTTCAACAGTTCTTTATCATTGCTCATTCTTCCAAAATGACAACTTTATATAACACTAAGAAGAGCTGACTGCTTTCTATCCTGTTGTACTAACAGCTTTTGGCACAGGCAATTATGACTCAATTTAAAAAACCCGAGAGAGAGCATTTGCATGTGAACACCAGAGATGGACCAGCTCGTTTTTAATCAGCTATTAAGCATAACAAAATGGCGTTTGAGTTCTGCCTGGTCATTCTTCACCTTCCAGATTATCTGAAGAAAAAAAAAAAACAAACCACAAAACAAACAGCTAGTAGGCAAATGAGGAGAGTTTGAAAATGAAAATAGAGCAGAGAAGAAGCAGAGTGAAAAAGACTGAGCAGAAGCAGTGACTGCAAAGAGCAGTGGAGAATGGCTAAGGCTGTAAATCTCCAAATGACAGAATGCTTGTTCTAAAAGAAGTAGCACTTGCTTTCATCAAAAACAGCCATTTATTTTTTCATGTATCTTTCCAAATAAGATAAACTGGAGGAGGTAAGTTGGTAAATTTTATCTGCATAATAATTCAGGCATCGTGTGACAGCCTATTTCTCACCAGCTTCCCAAACTATTCTACATCCCACAGACTAAGCAGTTAGAAGCCTGTCAGATTAATAAAACCAGAAATACCAAGGTTGATCATCCCCAAATCAAATGATTTGTGACCAAACAAAACAGATTTGTAGTAAGTCTTTTTTCCCTATGTGAACAAATTTTCATTTTTCATTCCTAAAACACAACAGGTAGCTTCCAGAAGTTCCCTGATCAGTGAATCTTTCAGTCCTGTGGGATGCAGGTAATCTGAGACACTGTGTGTGCTAATTGTCTCCTGCTACCTGCATTTTCCTTATCAACCACCTGGCTTCCTACTAAATAGCTATTGCGGCTCCTGATGTCAGTTCCACTCCTAAAAATGTTAATGTCAGTATTTCAGTTCTTCTGTGGTTATAAATCTTTGCAGATACTGAGATTCCTCTTCTACCACCTCCACATATATCCTATTGGGGCAAGATTTGCAGAATTACATGATATTGCTTTCTAAAAGGAAAACAAAGAAGCGATGAGATGAAACTTGCTCCCTGAAAAACATTTGGCAAAACTTCCAAATGTCTTTTTTCAAAACAGATTGTTCTTTTGCACTCAGCCAAAAGCAAAACAAGAAACCCAAACAATTCTACTGTTGAATATCAAGGCTGTATCCTCCATTGCCTTTAGCTGACCAAGATATTCCATAATAGCCACTGCTAAGTTCAAGTCTGATCTCTTTAGGAAATGACTGTACCCTGGAACACATGTTGCTTAGAAAGTGTTGCTGACCTGTTACTCACCCTGTATCTTTAGCTTGGCCCCCAGTGATTCAGCACAGCACAGTGAATGCTGGTACCAAAGCTGCTCCTGCCTTTGCTGACACTGAAACAAAATGTCACTGGGATGAGAAGACAGTTATGATCTTGTCTTACACAGAGGTGCTCTCAGTAGCTTTTTCATTTTTACAAGGTGATAGCTGAAGAAAAACACCGCAGAATTTACAGTATTTTAAAATAATTGAAACATTTTAATTGGCTACACACATATTTGTGCTACTTACATCAGTACATATTTGGGACAAGTTGCTTTGGAATTATAAAGAGAGCTGACAACTCCTGGCATGTCAATTCTTTAGAACTCAAACAATGCTTAGTCTCAGAAATTCCATGCTTTCTATCAAAATAATTGCCCACAGCACAACTGGTCATAACTTCTGTTACTATCATGAGGTAGAAGAAGGAAAGTGCAACAAAAGTACATCAGTGTTTTTTGGAATCATTTGCAGACTACGTTGTGGCAAGTCCTATGTTCTAGGCCTTCTTTCAGAAGTTTAGAACTTGGCTCTGCACTTCCTAGACAGATTACTCACTCACTTCTGTGAACTTCAACTAATTTTCCTAAACATTAACAATATGCTTGCCTCCTTGATCAGCTATAAATACAAATGTATTAATGTCAATATATTAAATAAATATTACCAGATTTATACAGAAAGTTTTCAAAATGCACCTACAATTACAAATGCCTTAATGGAGATAATGAAGGGTTAAATCTTCCTGTAACATATGTCTGTGGGTATGGTCAGTGCTCGATTCCCAGTTAATCAGGCACTGCTGTTAGAATAGCTGCTTAGGCACACATGGCCCCTCTGTTGAAGGATTATCAAATTTGGAACTGTTCACAGTAACCAGAGGAAGAAGGCAGTGTCACAGCTTCAGAACCCTGCCAGTGTCTTGCAGAATGGGAACCGTATTTCAGTCAACATTTCTCAACTCGTTCATTAGCCCCAGATTGCAGAAACCCACAGGATATCTAATGCCAGATTCTCTAACAGCTACAGCAATAAGTTTATTTAACACCTTGTTTCAGCTTATTCCCATCCTCTCACTTCTAAGTTCACTTTTTATTCCAAAGTCAAATCAAAATCTCAAGATAAAAGTCAAATTCAATCAAGGTGAAGTTGGAGGAAACAAGTTTTTGTGAGGAAGAGGATGGCAGTTTGCCCAGTTATTTTTTTCTTGGAGGGTCAGACAGTAAAAGAGATTTTTCTTTGTTGAAACTCTTTGCTGATATCAGCTTATCACAGCTGTAACAGCGTGACATCACAGAGAATCAAGTCTAGATCAGCTTAAGATCTGGCCTAGCCTGTCTCAGGCTACAATTGTGGATACCATTTATGTTGTTCATGTCTGTGTATCGTTTTGCAGGCTTGGCAGTTGAATTCTACTTCCAAGTCTGTATTTTTTTTATCTTCCAGGTCAGTAGTAATGTAGCTAGAAAAAGCAACAACAACAACAAAAACAAGTGGCCACCTATCTCAAGAAAAACTATAAATAAATGTGGAAATAAGAAGTACACAAAGCACTTATGGGTGACCCAGTTTTACATACTAAAACCCCTTAAGTGAACTTAGTTGAACACCCAGTCAGTCATACGTGTAGTCGATGTACAATTTGCTATTAGGTAAAGATTGATAAATACATTAAGACACACTTGTCAGCTCTCCTCTTCCTTTGACATGTTAATTATACAAGATTGCATTGTAATTCTACAAACTACAGAGCAGAAGTGCAGAAGGAATACCCAGTCTGAAAGAAATATCCAAATAAGGTTTTTAAAAACATCCCAGAGGTCTTCTTGGAATATGTTAGAAAGACAGATCTAGTACATGGCAGAAATTAAAAAATTTTTGTGTTCAGAAATTTTACAGTCATGTCTCACATCACAGTTTTCCCTGAATCTCCAAGAACAAGACCTTTTGTATCAGTGGAAATTGCTTTGTTAGTACTGGTCTACATTCTTTTATTTGCACTAAATTTGCATTAAATAACACAATAATTGAACTGGTTTACCTTTTATGCCAGTTCACTTTTAGTCTACTCTTCTGCACTCTTGGAGCATTTTGTCTGCTTTTGTTTTGCCCTGCAAAGATATTTTTCTAAGCAATTAAGTCAGTTGCAACTCATGGGCTTGAACAAAGTGAGTATTCTTCAGTTTGCTGGGAGCTGAAGTGATCTAAGCAATAGGAAGCTGCACAAAAGGGCAGCTCACAGTCATGAAGACGAATCCCATCTGACACACCTCTACAACTCCACTAAGTCTTCCGTTCTCAGTGCCACAATTTCTGTATGTAAATGAAGAAAAACTCTTATGACTATTATCTACAGTTAAAATTATTCTTTATATTTATGTGTGTCATTAATACAACACATTACATAAAGCAAGTTTGCATGCTGTACATTTTTTAATATATTTCTTTATCGTAATGCAGTTATAATCAAAATTCCAACTGTTAATAATTATTTTTGTCCAAACTATGTTCCATTAAAATGAAACTGCCCTTTTAATTCTGAGTTATTTTGGGGCCTGTGCATTGTATTTCAGTGAAAGGCACATTGATAATACCATTTTATGTCTTTGATCACTTAAATTAGACAGTGACTTTTTCCACAGGATAATGGATGGTGCCCACAAAAATTACTATAAAAATCTAAAATCATTTTTCTGGTGGTAGTGAGAGTAAGAAAGGTGCAGTTCATTGACTCAGGAATGTCCATGACATTCTGATTGCATCTGATTAATAATTCTCCTTAAAGTGCTGATCAGCTCTAGCAATTGAAACTTCATATAGTAACATCCTCATTGGGTAGAGATATATAGACTTTTTGAGGAGCAGCTTCTGGCATAGTTCCACAATGGCAAAAAAATAATGACACAGTACTTCCTTCAGTTTAAAGTGGTAACACAAAATAATTCCGTGGCTAAGTTGTGCAGTCTCTTTTGATTTAAAAGTTCCAGTCTTCAGAAAAAGAAAAAATCAAAGAGAACTGATTGGATTCAGACAGACAGTCTCCCAACAAACATTCACACTATCGTCCTCAAAGAGTTGTCATAGGCTCTGGCTCTCTATCCTTTCTTTGAAAACTTCTTGTCTTACTCTCAGCAACAGTTTGGAGTCCATTGGCACAGCAAGGTGCTCAGAATGGGATGCTGTCGTGTTTCAGCCACTCTCCACAAAAGAGGGGATAAAAAATAAAGCCCCCTCACGCTAAAGTCTCCTGCTAGGAAGTTCCAGTCACAGGAACTACTCCAGGCTCTGAAAAAATCACACCAAGGCAGCAATAAGAAAGGTTTCACTGGCTCCTTTATCTTCCCAAACCCATCCATTGGTTAGAAACTCATTAACAGGTGACATCTGAGCCGAAATTCTGCCCTCAGCCATTTTCTCAAAGTAAAACTATGACAAGAGGATTCTCTTGGACAGCTTCTCTGCAGGAACACACAGGGCAGGATAAACTATGCCCCACAGGAGATATCATACAGACTTCCTACAAGTTTTCAGCAGTGTTTCAGTCTGGATATGGAATTTTTTCCACTGAAGCACCTCCCACCCCCCTGAAGCTACAGCTTTGTGAGCCTATAACTACAAGGCTGGGAACATAATGAGCTCCCTGCAGACTTCTTCCCAATGCATGCAAAGAGATGTGCAAAATATAAAGTAATATTGCTAATTAGGCAGGGAAAAAAAGGCCTGTAATTCTAGTCCCCCAAGCAGCTGGGCTGTTCCTTTCCACCGAGGGCATCAGGATGACCTTGTCCCCGTAATGCTTGGCTGGACTGTGGGAAAGCAGCGGTGTACAAATGCTTCCAGGGCTTTCTGAAACCCAACTTTTACTGCTACCAGGACAGCAGTGCCTTTTTCAGGACCATTCTCTACTCTCTATGGATATAAGCCTTCCACCAAGTGGTCAGCTCCTTTATTGACAATTATATTGATGATTTAATAGCAGAAACAGAAAACAAAGATATACGAGTGTCACACACACAGCTGTTTCCCGTAGCACATCAGTTAGGGAATGGTCAGGTCATCAGTGACAGTCAATCCACAAAAGCAAGTTACTACTACATTCCCCAATTATCATCTCTTTCCTGAAACTCTTTGCATGTTATAATTTAACACACCTCTGCTGTCAAGGTTACCTTCAATAAATGAGGTTTACTTTGAGCTATCTTAGGTCTCATGCTGAAATACAAATTCAGAAAGGTTTATTAGCATCCATAATTGAATAACCCTCAATAATGGGAGACTGGTCAGGAACTAATAAACTATCATAAATACAATTTAAGTGTGGTACAATATTGAGAGCTTCCTGGAAGTTTTCAGGGAGAATAGTTTATCTGGAAATATCAATGCAATAAAGCTCAAACTTCCCAAAGAAATAAAAATCTCATCAGATGAATTGTACATTAAACTCTTTTCACAATAGCCCAACTGGATGTTTCTCTTTTGGTATACAAGAAATCTGATTGTAACTTCCTTTCTTTCCTTTGTGTGGCAACAGACTTGAAATATATTCTCCTATACTAAATGGCAGAGTTCCCAACACCCTACCTATTCTGGACTAGGAAGCTGTACATCTGTCCTGGCTCAGTTATCTTTACTCATTAAGATGGTCTTGAAGCTGGACATCATTTAAAATCTTGGATTTAGTATGACTTGGAATAGAACATTTTTTAAATGCCAGCTTCTGCAAGCTTGAAATTATTTTGAGAATCAACTCCAACACGACTGCCATTGCGGTACATTTCTTTAAGTGCAAACATTAATAAATTGCTGCCAATAAATACTTAAACAGAAAATGCAACATTTATAACAGAAGGGTACGAAAGTTATGTAGCTGAATAATAAGATTTAACCTTAAACTTGATCAGAAATTTGAAAGCCTGTTACTTATTTTTTTGTGTTTCCTTGAGCAGTACAGTCAGCAGCAGACTCACTCAGCAGTAGACTGCAAGTGTCTTATTTAAAGGAAGAAATATAGACAGAGCCAAATCTGATTAATAGAGGGAAAAAAAAAAAAAGAAAAAGAAAAGAAAAGAGGGAGAGAAACTTTAGGAAAGAAGAAATTCTTTCCCAATGCAAATTCTTGTATCAAAAGCCAGGCAAAGTTTCACAGCTCCTGAAGCAAAAATAACCAAATGAGAAGCACAAGACAAATAACCCTGCTGCAGACCATTCTAAGCCTGAATACATTTCAGAGGTAATTCTCGCTGAGAAATTTCTCTGTATATAACTTCTTCTTTCACACATAATTAAGAGCTGTCATGATTCGGGTAAAGAGTTGCTGGAAGTAGGATAGTAATTGCAATCTTCCACCAGGGATAGCTGCAATAAATAGTAAAGATCTTTCACAAAACAGTACCTGCCTTGAGAACAGAACCACTGTTTCTGTCCCCTTCCAAAAGCACATGGAAATCTGCTATGGCAATTTAGCTTAGAAACAAGTAAAAACTTTGCTGGATAGTGCTTTGCATATATATGTGTGTATTAGAAAAAAACCTGGAAATTACAAAAGGGATTGAGACTGGCTGAGGTTTTTGAAGGGCCAGGTGAAGATGCTGTTTAAGAGATTGGCACCTATCAGCAAGTCTTTCTCTCTCATTTGCACCTCATTTTTTGCCAAATTTTTAAAGAAACAGAACTTGGGAATTCTTTGTAAATAAGCAAGATTGCAGTTTTTAAGATCAAAAAACCTACATGCAGCATCTTTGTTTACTTCCTTCCTTTTTCCACCCGAAAATCTGTATGTATTTAGACTACAGCCTGCATATGACTTAACACTGTAACTCATGTGTTCTCTCCTCTCATCCTACAGAATAATAACATTCACAGTCCACGTGTAACATCACAGAAAGCCTCAGAGGGTAATTTCATTGCTATTCTGAATGCACGTATTTGGAGTAATGTGTTTCTCTTCAGAGATCAGTATCTCCAGTGGTATTTCTATAAAATCTGTTTAGCCCTGATGTGAATGCATATGCATTATGTCCTCCCTGTTCAAGTGCAGTGCCTCACTGCTTTCAGCTGAAAATTGCTTGAAGCCTCAGACATTGAACTGTTGTACAGAACCTGATAAAGTTTTGAACTATTAAGATGTAATGCTTTGAAAGATGACCCATGAACCAAGACTTTAAACATGATTTTTTTGCCTACTGCAGCTAAATGGATGTTTATCAAATGCTGTAGAACAAAAAAAGGGAAATGATGAACACTTCATGCAGAACGATTGCATTTGCTCCTCTCTCTAACAAAGTAACATTCATCATTTTCTGCCTCCCTCGCTACATTCTCCTATTTTCTTCAAGTGATGCTTTGAAGTTGGACATTTTACTTTACCATTTTATCTGTCAAACAAAAATTCAAAAGAAATCAATAATCTTACTGGAGTCCACTAATGTTTACATCCATTTTCTTCCTTGTCTTTCCTTTCTTCTGCTTTTATCAGCTGCATTTAATGTGATTTTAACAACTGCATTCTGTAAGTGATGCATCAACACAATTTAAAATCATTATTGTACAAAATCACTTATGATACCTACCTGATTGAACAAGAAAAATTAAGTAAATGCCTTTCAAGGAGCAATAAAAAAGAATTCTGAGGCAGCAGGAATTGCAATCATTCAACAAATGTGTTTCTTTGTTTTAATTTGTGTAAGTAGATTTTGATCAATGTCCTAAAAAAAACCTGTAAACTAGTTTTATTTTGTAGCTTTCTAATAAAATTTAATGTCTTGCACTTGGGCCTAATACACAACACTCCTGAATTTTGATGTGTAGTATCTTTTTTGTACAGCTAACACTCTCTATTTAAGTTTATGAATCAGCTCCCTCCTCTTGGAGGTACAATGTCAATGGTGAAAGTGTTTCAAAACAGCTGTAATGTATCAGGAGATAAACCAAATTCCAAACAGTGCATGAACAAATGCTCTCTCCGTATTCCAACTCACCTCCATAACCTCCCCATACTTTACCTTTCTTTCTGCCTTCATTTTCTTTGGCACAAAAGTGAAACTTTCTCCAATTCTGGCAGGTGCCAAAACACTGAACAAAAGAGAGTGTATTGGGTAATACTTCCTCTAGTTTTACTCCACTTGAAGCTCTAAGTGTCCAATATAAGAGAAGGCAATTAGGACCAGCACAAAAGTTGACTTCATTCTATGACAAAAATGCAAAGATGTTTAGAATCACTCCAGGAGCTTATTTCTTAGCTGACAAACTTGAACAAGGTCCATTCCCAGGTGGCTCAAAGAGCTTACTAAAAAATAGTTTACCTAGAAGGTCTTTCACTTTACTTAAAAGAGCAATGCTAGATTGCAGGGCACCAGAGTTTTTTGTTCCCTTCTTTCTTCAGTGGATTGACACCCTCTAGACTGTGCCTTAATTCAGCTCTGCAAGGAATTTTAAGCAGCAAGGCTGGGAAATAACCTTCTCTACCAGGAGGAGGCAGGAACAGCCTGCAGATTAGTGCAGAGAGACCAACAAGGGTAACCCAGCCAACACCTTAAAAATACAGAAGCAGCCACCAGTAACAAACCAATCTCAATATTACATGTATTTCAAATCACCTCGCTAAATTAAGGCGACTTCAGCCAAAGGAATTCAGGAAGCAACATTCTCTTCAAACATGCACAAATCACAAAACACAAACTTCTTTTTAGTTCCTCTGATATCGATGTTCATTGCTCTTTTTGCACCACAGAACCCTTTTGGCAAACTGTCCTCTGGGTGCCCTTCAATGGCAAAATGTATGAGCATGGGATAGCCATGAGGTAAAGGTTCTTACAGGTCTTATTCTTCAGGGTGAAATTCCCCTGGCTGATACTCTTTACAGTGATCTTGGATAGCCTTAAGTTAATGCCACTTGGTTTTGCTGAAAAGTGGAAATTCTGCTGATCCTCCCCAAAAGATCCAATTAATAATTATGTAAAACTGCTTTGTATTTATGAAAGATAATGCCAAAAAAATCAGTAAAGAAACTAGCACTAAAGATACTTCTGTTACCACAATTATTCATACCACCTCTACACTACTGAAAGTTTTCTGCTGAATAAAAAGGACAGACTTGTTTTGATGAAAGTTATCCAATTTATTGCTTTCTCTTATAGTCTTGTAGAGCATATACCTCAAACTATCAATATCTGTTAATGTTGACCTCTGAGGACATTTTCAAGCCTTTCAAGACACAGCATATCTCTGTATAGCACTGAGCATACTTTTTTTTCATTTTTGTTTCAGGGTTGAGTATTAAAGAGAAAAAGAAACTGAATTAAGAATTAACTCATTTAAATTTAGCTTGAAAGCAAGGCCTTCTAGGATCTTTGTAGTGTTTCAATATTTTAATGTCTTTGCATATACAGCTTAGTGCATGTGTTACAGTAACTCAAAATATTTAGTACTATTTTTAAAGAATTCAGTTCTAAAGAAAACATTCTTAACCATCCTTGAGCGTTAGTGTATACTTTTTCAATTTACTTTAGAATGTAGCATTCCCTTTCCCCTAATCTACACACCAAAACTACACTTTGAGCAAAGGTGGTTTGAGGTATGAGGAAGTTTTGCTGGAGGAAATCATTTCCTAAGAAAATCCAGAAAACACAATTGTCAAGAACAGGAAAAGAGTTTAGTCTTAGACTAAATTTATTTGGAAGGGGGGAAGAGAAGGGAGAGGCCCACAGTGGGGAGCCACCCAGTGAATTCCAGGCTGCTTCCTATGCATCATTAACAGGTTTTGGTTTCTTATTAAAAGGTCTGGGAGTTGTCTTTAGTTTATATCTGCAACCCAGAGAGATTATATTCACTACTGCCTGCCAAAAAATCTTGTGTAGCAGAAGCCACTATTTATTAACAAACATAAAGGAAAGCAGTGATGTGCAGAGCAGTTCTGCCACAGAAAACACTGGTTAAATGATGCAGGAAATTAAAGGAGGAAGGTAAGGAATAGATCCTGCAATGAATCCTGACAGATCTCTTTGGAAGGAAGTCAGTGAGCTTCCCATCTCGTTGATGTTTCAAGTGCTGCAGTGACTCTCTTGGTATCTGTTTCAGTGTTCTGTCAGAGTAAGGATGTGTCCTCACAGTCTGGTCAGCAAGTAGTGGACAACCAAAAATCCTTGAGCAAAAGTCTAGGCCAAAAATAAACCCTATAGTGCTGCCACTACTTACTTTCAATACAGAATCATAAAGAAATAGAAGTCTGCTTTTCCTTTTTCTGGTACTGAAACACTTGGAGAAAGCTCTGGCTGTGCACTTCAGGTCATGAGTAAAAGGCAACTTGTATAGATTTTTCTCCTACAAATCTTAACAGGTTTATGCATTTTTTGAAAGGGGTGTTGACAGAATCCTCAAATGGATTACAATGCCAGAGAATGAAAAGGGAACTGTGATCTTCTATAGAAGAACTGAAAGCCTAAATTCAAAGACACTTCCAGCCTTAATGCAAGAGATGTAATTTTCACTTGTCAAGGTGTATCTCCTTTTTTGAAGCCCTGTTTAGTTTATTTTGGTTGACTGCAGAGCAAAATACAGAGGTTGATGTTCCAATATGTTCCAATGAACCAAATAATTTGCTAGATCTAGTCAATAAATATCTATCTGAAGTGTTTGAAATCCTGCCCCGTAATTAGCTCTTTTATGATCAAATAGCTGACTTCTCCAACTCCATATGCAAGACAGAACACTTCTGGAAGACAGCTGTTCAAATCAAATGTTCTTTAAAAGAACTGAGAGAAATTTATACTTTCAGAATGAAGTCCCAGTCTCAGCAACATCAACACTCTTCAATGGCCTTCCTGAACAACAGCTACCATGTTATATTTGCAATACATTTACCAGAGGTGTGCAGGAAAACAAAAACAGCTCCAAGTCACCTCCCCAGAAAAAGAAAAAAAAGCACTAGAAAACTGCACTCCTGTAACAGTCATTAAGTAAACACTTTGTAAAGTACACATGTATAGATGGTATACACAGAGCTCTGGATTAAGGTTAAAAATGGAGACAATTTGTTCCTAATGGAGCAATGTCAAGGCTATAGGTTTCATTACCTTTTTTTCAATAAGAAACTTGACAAATAAGAAGAAATCAAATATGTGAAGAGAGAACAGGACTGTATAGAGGAAAAAAATGTGAAATATTACCACATTACCATTTGGAGAGACATCTGTACTCTCCTTCCAGAACTCCTGAGGATTCTTAATTGATAAATTTCCATACCATAGTTCATAGCTCACGTGCTAAATCACCAGTTACAGACTTTAGGACAAAAAGTCATAAATGCTGGCTTAGACATATGTCTGTTTGAGTTATCTTCTCTGGGATTTTGATATTCAGATTTGAATGTTACCACCACCATTCCCAATGCCTCTGATCAGCATAAAGCTAATTATATGCTGCTATTAAAGGAGATTATATTAGACACTGACAGTTGGAAAGGCCTAATGACCAGATGGATAGAAAAATAAGAAATCAAGCCATGTTGTTTTGTAATAAATTTGCCAGAATTTTTATATGCATATTTTATCATCAGCTTCATTATTTCATTCTACCATCAAAAAACCCCAAACCAACAAACAAACAAAAACCCCCAAATTCCAAACCCCCAAAACAACACAGCTGGAAAGGAGTCAAGATTGAGGATGCAATTAAATTTATACTGTCAGCATAATCCATCATTAATCATGCAGGTCAGTACTGTTCACAAGTTGAAAATTCTTCTGAAGATCCAACATGAGTCTGTAAACCACACATTCAGTGTTACCCTGGAAGAATGGAACCAAACAAACATGCATTTGTGTAAATCCTCAGAGAGAGGGTTATGAGACTAGAGTTGTCCTCAGCATGGAGAACCATTTATTTCATCCAAACAATGCAGGGCTTGGATAACCAAGACAGATAACTAGCAGTCACAAGGAGACAAAGTGATGGAGAAGCTCATGGTACAAGCACTCCTGAGTGTTGGTGAAAGAGAACTCTCCAAAAGAGAAAGACAAATAAGTATCAACTCAACTACTCTGATCATTGGCACCAAATCTATCTAAAGGTTAACATTTCAGGTATATTTTATTTCACATCTTATCATTTAATCATCAAGTTCCACAGTAAGAGAAGTTGAAAGGCACCTCTGGAAGTCATTTGGTCCAACTCTGGTCTCAAAGGAGAGACAAATTAAAGGTTACTTCTCGGGGGCTTAAGTGATTTTACATTTCATAAAGATTGTTTAATAAATTTCAGTAAAACAGATATATTTTAATGTCTTAACAGAAGTCAAAAAAAGGGGAAAAAAAAGGCAAAACCCAAATCCACCTTTCAGACAGCAATGAGCCATTTGGACAAGTTAAATTTTGTCTCTTTGCCCTCTTGAAGCAAAAACAACACCTAACCTACTCATAAAAAAACCCAAACCTCTCTGGCAATAATGCAATGCCAGGCATAGAATACAAAAGACATAGGAAAGAGTTTTTTCTTCCTAATAACTTAAAAATCTCAAAAGCTGAAAGTCTAGGCTAGCCCACGGTTCAAATAAGCTTCAGTGTAAGAATAAAACAAATAATTAATGCAAAGGACATATCAGACAACAACATGTTTCCAAAAGATAACTGGTCATGTTTTTCCTATCCAAGAGCTTCCCAATTTTTTAGACCCCATATGAGAGGTGAAAATCATAACTTGTGTAAACTCAACTTTTAGACCCTGTTTTAGAAATCTGCAACTTGACACTGCAGTTAAGCCACTAATATATATAGGAACAGAAAGTATGTCTAAAAAAAACCCCTCCACCTCGCTTCAGCTCAACTTCTTTCACACAAAGAAAAAAAAACTCCCCCTCCCTCATCCTGTTATCACTATCCACTATCCATAATCTCTAGTACTTTGTATTATATTCACAATAAGCTGTTTTAGAGATTGATTAATAATCGAAACAGAGCTGAGGCATTTAATCAATCTGAACAACAGATTATTGCTTTGTGTACCACAAAGAAAGACAGATTATCCTTTTATTATTGATTACACTTGCTACAGTCCTGCCAGTTCTATTACCTTTATTTCTAAATATTTTTGCTCAGCAAGTTTTCAACTTGCACCAATCTTAAAGACAAAAAACATTTCTTGGAGCTTTATACATATTGATCATCTCTATACTGGAATCCTCCCCACTTTTCTTGGATGATATAGTAGTTGTACCATCCATTAGCCTGTTTACAGTGCCTTCTTCCCTCACAGCAAATACACTGAGAATACTGGCACCTTCCACAGTCTCTTTCATATCCCTTTTGTTCAGCTACAACGGACTCAGCCTTTACTCTTAACACCTCCAGAGAACTGGTTGCAAGCACCCAAATTGCATCATTTCCCAAAAAGGTGCCGTGGCACTGGCCTGCACAGAGAGGAGAAGAAGCAGTAGACAGTACTTCAAAATATGGATAGAGTAGAACAGTAAGAGTAATCAAAAGAACTAATTCAAAATGAGAACTAGCTCGAGTTGAACAGACATAGATAGACAAAATCACCAACACAAACCACTCAGAGTATTCAAACGTCAGCAGATACAAACTGGAAGGTCACATGCAAAACATGAGGCAATCCTTTCACCCCAATAATGTCTCTATCTGCATATGTGTAAGATCACAGAAACATTGAACTGTTTTGTTGGAAAGGACCTTAAAGCTCATCTCATTCCAACCTCCTGCCATGGGCAGGGACACCTTCCACCAGACCAGGCTGCTCAATCCATGCAACCTGGCCTTGAACACTCCCAGGGACAGGGTTTCCACAAGTTCTCTGGGCAACTTGGGAAGGATTTCTTACTAACATGTCTTCTAAACCTGCTCTCTCTTCAGCTTAAGGTCATTCCCTCTTGTCCTATCACACCATGCCCTTGTGAAAAGACCCTCTCCAGCCTTCTTGTAAACCCCCTTCAGGTACTTGAAGGCTGCTATAAGGTTGTCACAAGTACAGCAACAAAATAAGATAAAATACATTCTTGGGGGGAGTAAAAAAATTACAGTCTTTAGATTGAAAATACATGTTAAAAAACTTGAAAATGTAAGAAAATCTCCCAGAAAGGTATAAGGAGAAAGAGAACGTTGCTTCCATATCCACAAAATATCACCACAGAATAGGTGACTTTTCAGTGTTGCCAGGGAAATGAATCAGAAGTAGGCAATTCTTTACTGTAAGTTAGTGCAGAACTGCATCATGCCACTTAATGTAATTCTAGAAACTCTTTCACTAGAGATTTTTAAACAGAGATAAAGATTTAAGAGAGAGTTCAATGGATTAAATGACCTCTTCCTTCAGCCCTTTTTTTTCTATAACGTAAATACTTTCATATAAAAAATTTACAGGCATTGATAGTACTAGAATTTCTTTATTCTCCAATTTAACAGAATGAAGTAAGTCAATTTTATACAAAACACTTGTGTTAAGAATTTGCTCTTAAACCTTTACTTGGAGTATTGAAGCAGAAAACTACTAATCTCTGCTCAAAATATTTGAATGCTGTGCCAAGATACTGATGCAAAATTGAGACAACAATGCAAGGGCAATTTTTCATTTTTGTTACTTGAGAACTTTTGCTGTGTTAACATCAGCACACAGACACTGTAGTCTCTAAAACTGGAACATCTAGTTCCCTAACTGAGCTCCATTTGTCACTATAAAAACATCATTCTTCATAATCCTTTGGAGAGTCTAAGAAAAGCACTTGTTTTAATCTTGCTTATTTCCACTGTGATCATTTGCTTTCAGAGACTTTTGCTCTTTATGAGTGGTCTCTGGCTCCAACCCTCCTGAGATGCAGCTTAAGCCCAAGCAACACCCAGTTCTACTTATGTGTCTGACTCTACCTTCATAATTGCAGGCTGAATATGTAAGTAATTTAAGAACCAAAATTCAAGACAATCTTGAATACCTCCAGAGACAGGGACTTCACCATCTCCCCAACTTATTCCAATGCCTGCCCACTCTTTCAGTGGGTTGTTTTGTTTCTGATATCTAATCTGGACATCCCCTGGTACAATTTAGGGCCGTTTCCTCTTATCCTTTCACCTGAGATGTGGCAGCAGAGAGTGACCACCACCGCAATATAACCTCTTTCAGGGAGATGGAGAGATAAACAACTACTATGGAATTAAATCCTATCATTCCTTAGGTGTTGTTCACAGCTGGGAATACTTGAGCATGTTTCCCTCTAGTCTTTGCAACAGAGAACTGAGAAGTGCTGGTGATAAAACAGCAAACCAGAATAAAGGGTCCATTTTAGTTCCTTAAACTTGAGACTTAGGCCAAGCCTCAGTCCTTCCCTAGACTGAGATCAATCCTCTGCATTCTCTCCACTAAATCCTGATGAAAACAGTGCTGTTAAACACCTTAGAGCACAGCCTGCTGCTGTGCAGTAAAAGAGCAAAGGGTTCCTTTTCCAAATGGGAACACTGAGGGTCAGGTAGTGCTGCTGCTCACAGGGAAGGCTCAGGGCGCCGCAAGGGCAGCCACTGCTGCTGGAATAAAAGGCCTCTTCTGAAAGCAGGAGCCAGCACTCAGTGTGTGCGTTGGACATTTCACTCTCAGCAGGTTTTTCTTCTTCCCTTGTAGCTCTCTTCCCCTCTTTGCCACTTATCACTCTTTTCACTTGCACAGCAGGGTTTTGGGCACCTCCCGCAACAACCAAATTCTGCCTGTACAGTTGAAAAAGCTTGCAGCTAATGTCACACCAAACTAGAATAAATCAGTTTTGAGAGAAATAGCATCTTCTATCAAGACAGACGCTGAAGCATGCTCTTCACCAAGAACACTACAGTTAAAGGATTATGTATTAAATTGACCAAAAATTCTCAAATTGCTTCAAACCATTCAAAGAGAGAAAAATATTCCCACCCAACACATTTTTTTTTATTTATTTCATAATTCTGTCAAAGCTCACGCTGAGGAATTTTTCTCTTCTCTGCATTCTCGTTTCAATTTCTTTTTTAATTTAAAATGCATCTCCAATATCTGACCATTGTCATTTATTAGATATCAACCTGGCCACTGTTTGTTTTTTGATCAGATGGATTAATGTTAAAATGGACTAAACCAGCCCATTTTGTTTGGAGTGCCTGTGTCACATTCCAAAAACAGAAGGACATAGGGGCAGGCCTCTGGTGTTACAGTTGTTCCAGGAAAACCACTGGATAACAACATGCCAGAAACTATGTGGTTTCTGCTTTTTTTTACTGGGGAAGAAAGTCAAACAGTGTTGCTTGAGAACCTGTGGTTTGAAAAGGGACTGTACCTTCCCCTTCCTGAGGAGCAGGGGAAAAACTTCCCCCTGACTACACCAGGTTGTATGGAGTTTGGCAGTATTCCTAAAACAAACACGTTCATTGAAGCCAGTCCTGGAGCAAGGACCTGTGCTGAAAGTATTTAGAATAGAGAAGACAGAGAGAGGGAGGTTTCTTGTGTTATATCTCATCTATATATGCTATTTAAGAAGTTCAGTAACTGAAATTTTACTCTAATAAATGTGAATTTTTCATTTTAAAAGCCTTTTGAAAAGCTTCCTATAAGGAGAGAGCAGAACAGACTAATCTCAAAGTCCTGGCCGCATCAGATTCTGACTATGTGGGCATTACAAGGATTAAATGGTGACAACAGCACTATCTTTATGTTTCTAATCTAAAGTTAAAAATATAGATTAGGTTTATTTCAGCTTTATATCTAACTATGGAGAAATTGATAAAATGTTCACAGTTAAGGACGATATTTTGAATACTGTCCCTCTAGATTTATTGCAATGACCCCTACTCAGCTGTCATTTGTCACTAATCCAATTGAACAGCCCAATTTATCAATGACTTCTATTTTATCCATTTGGTCTCTGTCCTCCAAGGCAGAAAGGTTTGACTTGCACATTTTTCTCCCCTTCCCTCTAAATATTGTAAACAAATGCAGTTTTAATAATGCTTACACTTAATTCACTGGACTAAGCTATGCAAAATACTAGTTTACTCATGATGTTCTTTGCAATTAAAGCAGTGACAAGGAATTTCTTATAGGTATATTAAGAAACAGGGGCACAAGAGAAATTTTCTACATGTACTTTATCTAAACAATAAACAACCCTTTTCCAGCCAGATATTTATACCAATAATGCTGTTAATCCTGGATGTTTTCTGATGTATTCGTGTGAATCTGTGGGTCAGAAGTAGTTCATATTTTCTAGTAGTGACTTACTTTAAAGTGCCTAACCAGTGCACTACTAACTGCTGGATGGAGTTGGGGAGAGGCGTTCCCATTTATTACATTAATATTTCTCTTCAGTGGTGGAACTGGTAAAAGTTTACAGAGGTGGCATCGCCTACATAAACACCACAGATCCCTACTCCAAAAAAGTTTATGTATGACCTCGCTTTAGGCACAGTAAATTTTAATTCTATTATCATGGTAAATTGAGGAACTGTTTTCGGGGTCTCTGCTTAGAGGTGATGATAGCACTGAAGTACTGTTTATAAATCTTACTACAAAGTAAGTAGTAAGATTTATTTCATAATTAATGCATGAAGATAGTTTTCAGCCATGTATAAGATCTAGAATGCTCTACATACACTAACTTGAAGAGCAAATCAATCTTATAAACAATGGACTGTTCTGCTCCCAAAGCTTTCATCAGCCAAGTCCTCTTGCTATGCAAGTGTAAAACCACTGGCATCCTTTTGGAAATTGGACTTGGTTATCTTCTCACAGTATTGGTCTAATTATGGTTTTAATCTGTTTTAGGGTTTTTTTTTAATATTTTCTCTAAGACTCCAGCGCCTAACAATCACCTTTTCACCCACTGTTTTCATTCAGCAGTCACACTTCTCACCTGTAGTTCTGTTTATTGGCAGGTTTGGGAATACATCTGGAAAGCATTTTGCAGACAAAAGCAGTCATCACTCCAAATCAACTAGAAGCTGCATGGATTAAGTTAGCACAAAAGAGAAATCAAGTCAATAAACCCACTGAAAGGCATGCTAACGTTAAATCAAATTCTGTTTCATATTGCCCATATTGTCACAGCTTCTGGCTGGCTCAGTGCTGGCCTGGCAAGCATTCCTGTCTGCCTGAAAAATTCAGGAGAACAGATTCAGCTGCTGTTCAGTATCTGTAATCATCTCCAGAAGGTACTGGTAACAGACTTGCAAGACCAAAAATTTAAAGACTGGGGAAAAAAAAAAAATCTTAAAACAGTTACTTAAAATACATATTCTTCATATCAAGGGTGTGTTCACATTACCATTTTCATTTGTATGAGGAGAATATTTTGGAAGCAAATCTCCCAATCAGACTAGAGTTGGTTGGCAACACGCAGTCCTCAGCATCATGTTCCAGTCTACATATTTACTCTTACTGCTTGCT